TTAATATATATTTTTCATACAGGTTTTTTGCGTTAAAGAATTGAAAATATTTTTTTATATTATGCAAAATAAAATACTTATTACACGATAATTTACGTATATCATTAAATATACTAATCAACTAAAGGGACTTTGTTGTAATTTATTCAGGTTTTAAATTTGAAATTTCATTATATAATTGTTTTAAATATTTAGAAGAAGGGTTTTGTCTAATAATTTTAATTGATTTAAACTAAATTATTTTTAGGTTAAATTATACTTTCAGTTCCTTTATTTATTTTTAAAATTCAATTTGACTCTACAATTTTTAGATGGTTTAATTTGGTCATCTAACTTTTTATAAATGTTTAATGTTATTCTTCCGTCTAAATTGATATTAACGACGTTAATGAAATTCGATGAATGGATAACATTGAACACTGTTTAAAAATTAGATAACTAAATTGAATTATTTAAAATATTTAATTTGACGAACCAAAAAAAAATATTTAATTTGATCCCACTATTCTAAAATGTTCAATTTGGTACTTTAATTTTTAAAAAATAATGTTCAATATTATCTATTCACCTAATTTCACTAATGTCATTAGTGTCAATGTTAATTTGGATGGAAGAATAACATTGAATATGTTTTAAAAATTAAATGATCAAATTGAACATGTTAAAAATAATGAGATTAAACTGAATCCTAAAACTAAATAGAAATATTAAAAATATAATTTAACCTTGTTTTTATGTAAAAGATACTTGTTATTTAAAATAAAAAATAAAAAAAATGTTTTTAATTATTATATATAGAAGTCAAAGTATTTATCCTTCTATGATTGAATTTATCCCTCAAACTTTAAAGAAAACATGTAATACTGTGCAATTTTATTAATATTATTGATTTTATTAATTTAAATATTGTTGTGATTAAGTTAGGAATTCTAATGAGTTTTGTTGTTTTAGAGATATTTTAAGTAGAGATCAAGTTGACCTATTAGAGGAAGAGTATATAAGATTTTTCTTAAAAAGTGAACTTCAAAAGTTCATTTCTTAAAAAAAACTTAAAGATAAAAACTTTAGAGATAGAAGTGAACCATTTCCCTTTTGACTTCATGAACTTCTGCCACCTTCCCCTAAGTGTAGATTTAGTTGTTGGTTGCTGATTCGAAGCTTTAAAGTCGAGAATCAAAATGTGGTACTAGTCGTGTGGAGCTAGCTCAAGAGACTCCATTTTCCTCTTCTTCTTTGCCTGGTTCTAGTGGATTTAGAGGTAAAGGAAACTTGTAACTTGTTGATTTTGTGTTATTCTTGTTGATTTTCTTCTTGAATCATTCTTGGATTGGCTGAATTATTTTGTTGATTTGAGTTGAGATTGGGGTTTTATTGTTCTTGAAGCATGTTGTTGAGGTTAAATATTGGTTATGTGTTGTGTTTTTGGTTGGAATTTAAGTGATTGTGAAGTATATGTTTGTTTTCATGAGTTGCATGTTGGAAATCTTGAGTTTTAGGTGGATTGAGCAAAAATATGAATCTAACAAGTGCAAAATTCATCATCGTGTCAAGTGCAATTTTATGGCGTCGAGCGTGATTGTCATAGGGACTCTTTGCCTCATTTACACCAGGTGTAGGAAGATTGGCATCAAGTGTGGGCGAGGTAAAGACTCTTTGTCTCAATGATGCCATGTATGGATTTCTAAATGAAAAAAATATTGTTGTGTGATTGTAATACTTAATACATTGATCTAGGATGATGTATATTGATGTTTAAATTGTTGAAAGTTGTAAGTTGATTAAGATTGAAGATTGAACTATAGTAGAGTTATGTGATGTGTAGTATTGTAGTAGTTGTGTTATGAATGCTTAATGCATGGAGTTGAGTTGTGTTGATTAACTTATAACTATAGGAGAGATGTTTTTAATATGAATATCTCATTGTGAGAATATGGTATTGTGGTGCTCTTCGAACCTAGTTGTTGAAAACTCCTAATTGAGAAGTTGATTGTTGAAATGGAGTGCTGAATATCCTTTGAGTTCTTAGTTGATGCAATATGGGGGCTAGGTCTATCAATACTGGTTATAAAATGACCAAATATATATTCGTATGGGGAAAATCAAGTCATACATGTATAAAGTGACCAAATTGAGTAAGGTACGAGGTCGAGGACCAAAATCTCTAACTAAGTACTATAAGGGACGTAATACTTGAAGGGTGGTTGATGAACTAATTCTATAATAGGCTTGGTTATGTATGTTAAGATCGTGATAGACTCACACCCAGGTTGTCCTAACCTTGATATAAATACTGGAAATTTCCTAATTTAAGTGGCGAAATTCGAGAAACTATGTTTTATTGTGGATTTTTATCCAAATTTGTTGTTAATTTAGCAAACCCAAAAAGATCATGTTGTTAAGTTGGTTCAATAGGGTCAAACCACTTAGACTACTCACTTGTGTTGTAAGAGATCTCTTAGTTGAAATGTGTGACAATACATTATGTTATTATGTTGATATGTTGTAAAGTTCATATGTGTTGACATATGGTGATATTGCTTAAGTTCTTGTGTTGTGAAATAGTTTTGGTTGTGAACTATGATGTTGATTACATGTTGTGCTGTGAATAATTATAGTATTCATATTCTAAGTTGAAAGGTTTTGTATTGTTAAAGCAGAAAACCTTAATGAGTTATAATGTGTGGTTTATGAGTTGAGTTGATCTTACAAGTTGATATGAAGATGTTGATAGTATAAGTATAATTTACTTTTGTACTTGTTATGTTATTTTTTGTAAGTTTACCCTTGCATGTTTCTTTATGGTTGAACTATGATGATCATATTTATTATGAGAACAAGGTAGGATAAGATGAGAGGATGAACCAGTTTTGGGAGTCATGTTAGAAGATAGTAGTGTTACTTAAGGTACCTCAGTATAGTTATTTTTCTATAGTTGTTACTTAACCAATAACTAAGATTTTATGATTTTTTAATTAGTTTCATATATATATATATATATATACATATATTGTTGCATGTATATTCAATAATTATTTACATGATAATAATAGTTAATTTTATATTTTTTGTTACCTTAATCGTCGAACTGTAAATTATAGAAACTTGTTCAATCGTTACAAAACTTTTATAAAAATTCATCATGCTATTTAAAGTTAAAAGACATTAAATCTACATATTTTTTTTCTAAAAAATTGAGAACTAAATTCATTCATATGAAAGAATCCACCTAAATCACCTTTGATCAAAATTATAGAGATTAAAGTTATGTTATTTTACAAAAAGTATAACATTTAAGTATTTTGTATTCTTTAACAACAAGTAATTTTTTACATCAATACTAAGAAAATCAAATAATGTGTTTTTTTTAGGTCTAGTTTCAACTTAAATCTAAATAAAAAGCTATTTAATAAACAATAAGTATTTTAAAAAGAAAGCCGAATAAAACGTTTACTAACTTAACTCCTTGTATTGCCTAGGCCCCCCTGAGCTGAGATGATGAAACATTTACCTACTTGTTACTCGACGATTATTCCATCAGATAATATCAATGCACGATGATTGGGTACCCAACAACTTTAAATGCACAAACTATTTTTTAAGAGAAATAAATGCATAATAATTATAATAAAAATAACTCCATTAATGAAACTGATAATTGATAAGAAGACACGTTATGCAGTTACCTTACTTTATCAGAAATGGTTAAAACCTCTAACACCAATATTATTCCTCTTAATGTTTTACTATAATGAGTTGAGCGTGTTTTCCTGCAACCATGTCTTCCTCAGTTGATTGGTGAAGTTGCTGGTTGGTACTCTCAGAAGAAGGGTAGTGTTGGAATATTAACCTTTGGAGAAGTGGCAACAGAAAGGTTCATTGACCTTTTTCGAGAGGCTTACTTGTGGTCCGTAACTGCTGATGGCAACTATTCAGTGGTCACAAGAAGCACCCTCCAAAGCCAGCACTTAAACCTCCCTCTTCCTTTTTCTTCCCATCTTCACCCTCCTCATCTCTCTTCACCCTTCTATTTGTTAACAATGCAATAAGAGGAGAACGGAGAAAGCTTCAGCAATGGAATTCAAGAAGCATTTTCTTTTATGCCAAGGTAGTGAAAATGGCTCTGGAGCAATTTTTCTTAATATCTTTTTTTTTGTGTGCATGCCAGTTCTCTCTCGGATCAAGGGTTCACCTTTTTTGCTTCTTTGAGTTTTGTACTTTTTGGATTAGAATATGTGCATGCATGTCTACCCATTTGAGCTTCCTGCTTGTATTATTGATTCACTATTGTGAACAGCTTGCCTGGCCCAATTTTTGTTGTAAAGTTTTCTTCTTTTGTTTTGTTACCATTTGTGATGGCTGAGCTTTTCTTTTTGGTATTCATGAGATCTTAATTACCGGGATGGGATATTTGCCTGTTTTCTGTTCTGTGAAAAGTGGCATCTGCCAATGAGATCTTGGCAATACAAAAGGAGGGGCTTTTGATTCTGTTTTGTGTAGAAAATATTCCTAAAAAAAAAAAAATTGTGGAACCTGTTGTTTGTGATTTACCAGCTGTCATTGGTGATCAAAGGGCATGCCAGTTTTGATCTGAATCTTGTTCTGGGGGTGATCTTTAGATGGCATGCTACTATGCTAGTGTTCTGCATTATCTGTTAGCTATTTGGGAACTGTTTTTACCATTTAAACAAATTTAAGTGTGCCATAATGTTCTGTAATCTTATGCTGAAGTCTAGCTTACTGAATCAAACTTTTGATCTCATGGTTGTGCTGAAGGAATTGGATGCTGATAAGTGGTATTCATTGATCTGTTACTTTCTGTGGGAGACTGAGAAACGATGCCAAGCCAGCTATGGTTTGCACTGCCAATGATTTACAAGAGTGGAAAGATTTTCCCAAAGGACTCAAGGTTCTTCTCCTTGAGGGAGACAGCGTTTCTGCTGCTGAGGTAAGGGCAAAGCTTGAGGCCATGGACTATAATGGTAAGACTTTTTGGATTCCTTCTATTTGTTTTGACATGTCTCACTTCTTTATCTACATCTTAAAATTCCCACTTATGGCCCATACCCCATAGTGGTAAAGTTGGTCCCCATCTATGGCATCTTGCAAAGTGACATTGCTTTAGAATCCTTGTATGGTTATTTGTAAAATTGTGGTCTCAGATCTTAGTTGCTCAGTGGAGTCTAGAAAATTTGACAGATTTTATTTGCACTTTGGAGCCTAGGAAATTTGAAAGAATTAATACCTTTTACCTTTTTTTCAATGCTCAACGTTCTCATTCATTTTTTCTTTACATCTTATGAAGCTGCTAAAGTTCTCATTTGTGCTTCAACTATAAGTGTTTTCAAAAGTGAATATGGTCTAAATTGTAAAGATATAAAGTAGAAAAGAATTCAGTTATCTGATTCACAGGGTCTAAATTGTAAAGATATGAAGCATAAAAGAATTGTCAGTTATCTGACTCTGAACTATTGAGTCTATATTATTTATGCATATTCAGTGGCTTTTCAGTTGCCAAGCCAATATGGATTAGTTGGTTGCTGAAGACAGGAATCTTTTATTAAAAACAAAAGTTTTCATGAACAAGTTTACCGAAATTATATCTTATGGCTTAGGGATTAGCGTAAGTACAATTTGTTTTTTATTGAAGTCACATGGTTCTTTTACTCTGCTCCTTGTCTCCTGCATCTCCCACATTCTTGTTTCCTGCACATGCCTGTCCTCTATCAAATTTTTTAGTAAGCTTCTGAGTTTATGTACAGTTTCCACATTCTGTGATGAGAATGAAGCCTTGTCAGCGATCTCAAGTAGATCTGAAAGCTTCCACATTGCCATAGTGGAGGTAATGAACTTTCATTTTCTATATAAATGAAATATCATATGCAGTAATTGTAAAATTTAAAAATAGAAAACAAACATCAAAATGACATTATCTTGTATGCTTTTGTGTTGAAAATAAAGTGAACATCTTTGAGGAGGAATGATACTCCCGACTATTATTCGTTGCTGCCAAACTTTAGGCAAAAAAAAATGTAATTTTTTCCAAGGCATAACATGTCTTGAAACTTTTGAAATGCTAGTCATGAGGGATGACTTTTATCATCCTATACATTTTGCTCATATAATAATCATGAGAATTATTGTATCTCTTTGTCCAAGTTCTATATCTTAATCTTGTGATTGTTAAAATAATACAGCTTTGATGATGTCCTTTTTAACCATATTCATTCATCCTAATTGCAGGTGAGTTCAAGCAGTAATCAGGGAGGTTTCAAATTTCTTGAGAATGCCAAGGACTTGCCAACCATTAGTAAGTACATAGACCAACACCTAATTCGCGGGCATAAGTTTTTTTTTTTTTAAATCTCCAGTGTTTACTCTGTTTTAATGGCCTTTAAAAGTCAATTATCTAGTCTAAAAGATGAACCAAAACCAGTTGCACCAGAGACCAAAGTTCAATCTTTGCTATCACATATTACATAGCATTTGGATAATAGTAATATTCTTTTTTCTTTTCTCTTTCATATGTCTTGTGATTGTTGATTGCTGTTGCTTTTATACCTGCAACCATTTGTTTTATAGTAGCTTTTACCTATTGAAATTGATGAATGGTCTAGAAGAGAGCATGACATGGAAAATATAGGGAAGGTTTACTTCAAGGCTATTTTCTGCTAATTATAAATTTTCTAACCCTTGATACTTCCAATTTTTTATGTAGTGACTTCAAACAATCATTGCTTGAACACCATGATGAAGTGCATAGCGGTAAGATTTTAGTTTTTCCATCCCAATTATTTATAGGTCAATATCTGATTATGCTACATTCCTTGAACTAACATAACTTCAATCTTGTATTTCATTGTTTTGTGTTTTTCTTTAAGTCTAGCTTTTGATTCATTCAAATTATTGACCAAAGTTTGAACTTCTCCTTTAAAATCAGTCCACTGATAACTTATTTGGATTTTCAGTTCAATATTTGCCCAAAATATGATCTTTAACTCTTCTGACAGAGTACATTTTCATTCTGTACTGATTGTTAATGCATACTTCTTGACTCTTTGGTCCATTTTATTTTTTAAGCTTGGTGCAGTTGAGTTCCTCAGCAAGCCACTCTCTGAGGATAAGCTCAGAAATATCTGGCAGCATGTGGTTCACAAGGTATGCTAATAACTTGATATTGATGATATTACAATGGCATTAACCATAACATAATATGATCAAAATAGTTTCTCATGTGGTTGAACTCAAGCAGGCATTCAGCGCTGGGGCAAGCGTACTGTGTGAATCACTTAAACCAGTCAAGGAATCTGTTGTGTCCATGTTGCAGCTCAAAACAGACAATGAACAACATGAAAGTGGAGTATCCATTGATATAGAGAAAGTATACAGGTTTACTGATAATGATCATGAGCAGTCTCCTGGAAATGATAAATATCCAGCTCCTTCAACCCCACAATTAAGGCAAGGAACAAGATTGTTGGACGATGGTGATTGCCAAGAGCAGACTAATTGCTCAACAGAGAAAGAAAGTGGGGAAAATGATGGAGAATCTAAATCTGTCGAAACTACATGTGGAAATTTGGAGAGCAATGAACAATTTAGGCAAGGGACAAGATTGTTGGAAGATGGTGATTGCCAAGAGCAGATTAATTGCTCAGCAGAGAAAGAATGTGGGGAACATGATGGAGAATCTAAATCTGTCGAAACTACATGTGGTAATTTGAATGCTGAAACTGAAAGTACTCCTCAGCAAAGGAATTCTGAAACTACTTTGGCTAAGGAGGAAGTGGATTTAGTTGATGCTACCAAGGGTGAGACTGTTGCTTCTCTGCATGCACAAAAAAGAAAAGTTCTAAGCAACACTGATAGAAATATCAAATCTCCAAATAAAGCAGGTGTTCATAGTGATGCATGTGAGATCAGAACAAATCGGAAAAAGATGAAAGTAAGCTGCTTTATGACTGTTCATTCTTCTTACAATCTTTCTGTTCCTCTAACCCTTTTGCCCATACTGTTTTCTTGCAAATTACAATGACTGTGGCACACAACTGAAAGATATTTCCAAACTTTTTGTTTAATCTGTTGATATTCTCAATTTATAGTGTATGCATTCATGATTATGAACATGAAGTGGAGATATGTCTGAGCTTAATCAGTAATGGAATTGTCAAATCTTAACTAGTCTTTGATTTGAAATCTAGGAAATACTCTTTCCAAGAAGTTACAGTTTTGGTACTTGTTTTTGGCCTCAGGTAGACTGGACGCCTGAACTGCACAAAAAATTTGTGAAGGCAGTGGAGCAACTAGGCATTGATCAAGCCATTCCTTCTAGAATATTGGAGTTAATGAAAGTGGAGGGCTTGACAAGGCATAATGTGGCAAGCCATCTTCAGGTCATTATTTACATTATTGATTATGGACTTGTTTAGATAAACTTTTCTTGAAGTATTTCTAGAAGAAAAAAAATATAAAAAAATAATGAAATAAATTTCTACATGAACTAAAACTAGTTTATGAATAAATTAAAAATAAGTTTTTTGGAGAAGCTAGTATGAGAGGGCTTCTATTTATAAAGAAACTTATCTCATTTTTCTTTTCTATTTTTACCTCCTATAAGTGTTTCTGGAAAAGTTTATTCAAACAGACCCTATATGATTCATTAGTTTCTTATTTATCAACAACTGTAAGCAGAGTAGCTATTTTTCAACACCTCATCTGGTACTGGCAATAGAAAGTGGATATTGATATCTTCCTTGCTAGCTAAGACTTGATAAGTTCTTTTTTGCATGAAACAGAAGTATAGAATGCATAAGAGACAAATCTTGCCCAAGGAAGAAGATAGGAAATGGTTGAATCCAAGAGAAAAGAGCTATTGTGTTCAAAGACCAATTATGGCATTTCCTCCATATCATTCAAATCACACCCTTCCTTTGGCTCCTGTATATCCTATGTGGGGACAATCTGGAAATCAAACGGCTGGCATGCAGATCTGGGGCTCTCCTGGTTATCCCATGTGGCAGCCTACTGCTGAAAGTTGGCACTGGAAACCATTTCCAGGGGTAATATTTGTGTTTCTGAATTCAAAAATGAGGATATGAAGTTTTTCTTCTATATTATTGTTAGCAAACTTTGCTCTTTGGCTTGTGTTGTAGAAATTATGTTTATCTATGCCATTTGACTTGCGATCACTTGATATTGCAGGTGCATGCAGATGCATGGGGCTGCCCAGTGTTACCAGTACCACCTCCTCAAGCTCCTTGTTTTCCCTACTCTCAGGTGAGAATCATCAAACTGAAGATCTTAACTTAGTATCTATGCTATTTTGCATGCTAATGGTTAATGTGTCTATGCCTGCATAGTTCATTCTTGCTAGTTATTTATCAGAGTGATACTAATCAGATATTTCTCATCAAACCTTAGAATATGCCTGCGTTGCTCAATGCTGATATGGTGAATCATACGTTTAGCATGTCACAAAGTTCCTTTGAGCATCATCCGGTAATGCAATACTTTCATTTCAGTTTTTTTCTACTCTATCATATGGTGAGATAACTGGCCACTGGCCAGTCACCAGTTCATACGTACATACATTCTTGTTGGTTTTCTGCGAACCTCTGTTAAGTCCATCTTGAGATGAAACTCTACCTAAAAGCCTTTAAAAGATTAAAAATCAGGAAAACTTGAGTGCTTTCTACTCCCTTGGTAGAATTGCAACATATATATTGGGGACCTTGAGAAGGTGCGAAATGTTTCTCTACTAGGCATGCATCTTACAAGTTACAATAGACTTAAGTCTTGTTTAGATAAATTTCTCGGTAAACACTTATCAGAACAAGAGAAGGAAATAAGATAAAATTAGTTTATGTTTAAGTTGATTTTAGTTTATATTCATTTTACCTCTTTTTTTTTTTTTTCTTTCTCGTCAGTATTTATTGAGAAATTTATCTGAGTAGAGTCTTAGAAATGACAATCATCTAAATGTCGATGCTTTTGAAGAGTTGGAAAAGACCATGTATCTTGTGTCCAATCAATCTTGTTAGTTTCTATCAATCTCCTTTGAGTGCTGAATCAAGTGGTAGTTCAAATCAAACTTGCATGGGAACAGGCCTGAACTTGTTGAGTCTTAAGACTTAAATAGTTAACTAATTCAACTAGTGTCCGAGTAAAAGTGCAAACTCCCCATGATCTCTCACCATGCATGCATGCAGGCAGAGGAGGTGGTTGACAAGGTTGTGAAAGAGGCAATAAGCAAGCCATGGCTACCCTTGCCCTTGGGACTCAAACCTCCATCCACAGATAGTGTGTTGGTTGAGCTTTCAAGGCAAGGCATTTGCAGCATCCCTCCTAAGGGTTCAAACTCTGGCTGACACCAAAGAAAGAGCGGT